AGTCAAGCCAATAAAACAACTTTTAGGTGAGGGGTAATAAGGACATGGGGAGATTATTATCTACTCATAAAACAACCGGTGATAATTTTTTAGACAGTTTTCTGGAGTTGGGGATAACAGCTCACAACTCAGACTTCTGAGCTTCCCCATTTTCTCTTACCCATGAGCATGGCGTATCCCACGCAAACCTTGCTCCCCCTCTTCTGTGCTCAACATCATGGTGCCAAGGGCATTTGCTTAGCTGTGTAGAGGCAGAAAGCCTTCATACCTGCCTATATTTGAGAGAGCTCTTTGAATCCCATAGCAATTCTGGGGTTCATCTGCTAGGGCTGCAGTATTGTCTAACTGAATCTTAAGGATTCACTCAGATGCTGCTCAGAGGCATATAGCTTGCAAGGTTGTATCTCAGCAAGAACCTGAAATTGCTCATTTAGGTTCAAATTTAAACTATTTAGTCACAGAAGACAATTCAAGGGGAGGAAAATGCTAACCTGTGAACCTTATCTTCCAGGTTACCAGGTCCCAACATGTAAGAGCAAAAGATTCTGAGAGAGCATAGAGGGAAAGGCAGGGAATCTATTGTGGCAGGAGGTGCTGAGTCTGACAGTATCAGAACAGAAACTCCTACAGTAGCCTTGATTTCAAGGCTGGTGCTCTGTGCTCCTTCTGCCCATCATGTCCATTGTCACATGGTGGTAGAATGTGAAACTCCGAGCAGTGGTTGTGTCAAACCAGGAGCTAACTGACAGCAAAGAGAACATCCAACATGCAGCAAGGTGCAGCAGTGTGACTCAGTACCCTCCTGTTTTTTTCCAAGTAATTTGCACATCTAATATTCCACCTTCTCTGTTTCCCCCACCATCTAATTTTGAGCTTTTATGTATGACATCCTTTCTGATGATTGATTTGAGTTATTCTTATTTTATCAGATTAAATAAGACAGAAAATACAACAAGAATTAACCATCACCCCTTGCAGAAGCCTAAAAGAAACTTCCTCTAAAAACCTGTGAAAAATAAGTGTATTAAGTTACTAAAATGCAGCATCCAGGCGTAAGACGTGCTGATTGACAAAAGGCCTTAGTTCTCTTTAGTACAACAAAGCGTTTCATTTTCTGAGCATAGAATAGTCAAAATCTCACAAACATTAGCAATGCTAAATTAATCTTTCATTGTTTCCTTTCTATTTGTAACTCTTGCCTTTTCAGGTAATCCTGGACATTTACTTTCACCTATGCAGAGATACCATTCTGTCAGGAACTAGAGAACAGGGGTGGTACAATGCTTCCAAAGCCAGTCAGAGATTGCATGGGTGAATAACAAGCCCTCCACTAAAAAAAAAAAAATAAAAAAAAAAATCTGGATGACCTACTGTCATGGTTTAAGCCCAGCCTGTCACTCAGAAACCACACAGCTGTTTGCTCACTTCCCCCCCAACCCCCCTTCCTCTCCCCGCTCCCAGAGGGATGGGGAGGAGAATCGAAAGAATGTGACTCCCACGGGTTGAGATCAGAACAGCCCAGTAACTAAGGTATAACACAAATCACTGCTGCTACTACCAATAATAATAATGATAAGGGAAATAACAAGGGAAAAGAATACAACCACTCACCACCCGCCGACCGATACCCAGCCTGACTGAGCAGTGATCTAACATGACATGCTGTGGTATGGAATACCTCTTTGGTTAGTTTGGGTCAGGTGTCCTGTCTCTGCTTCCTCCCAGATTCCCCTCCTGCCTGGCAGAGCATGAGACTCAGAAAGTCCTTGGTCAGAGTAAACATTACTGAGCAACAACTAAAAACATCAATGTTATCAGCCTGTTCCCAGATTGAAAGTCAAAACCACAGCACAGCACCACCTACTAAGAAGGAGAAAAATGACTGCTACTGCTGAACCCAGAACACCCAAAACCCATAAAATCAAAAAGGTTATGGGGTATTTGGTGAAAAGGTAGAAGTTGCTCTGCCATGACCCACTAAATACTTCATGGTAGAGCAACACATCCAAAAATGTAGATTAAAGAATTAGGCAAACAAAACCACAATTATCATCTATTGAGGAAGGCCTCAATATTGTGTGTGTTCAATATGAGCCAGACAGCAATTTATAAAAGCCAGCACTACAAGCCCAAAGTATGGATGATACATGTAGGAAATAAGATCTTCCTCCTTTCCTAATCGCAGGATGATAACGCAGCTTTTAGAGACAGCAGATTAAGAATCAATATAGATGAGTTTACCACATTTTGGAGAGAAGGGGCAGGGCAAAGTTTGGTTTAAAGATGAAAGCCATGACATACCATTTGTCTTCAAGGATACAGAAAAGTCCTTGGCTCTGATTATCTTACTAATAGGACATAGTCTTAAAAGATACAAGATGCAGTTTGACTGGGCGCCCCAGGTTCAGTCAGGTGGGAAATGGTCCTTAGAGCCTCCCATGACCAAGCTCATGGTAGCCTCTGGTGATGGTTTTCTCTAATAACTGCAAAGAAACCCATATTTCTCATTTTGATAGTCAATTTTCAATCCTTGTGGCACCTTTTAAGCACCTAAAGGTTTGAACTTTTCAACATTTTTTACATCAGGATTGGGAGGTGGAAGGGGACTATATGTTGCTATGTGTCAGGAGAACAACTCACAACCTTCATACTCATATGACAGCACCATTTATATTTTTCCTCTTTAGAATGGTCCTATATTATACAGCAAATTGTTTTGGAATACCTGGCTAATATGTATTTTCTGGTAATCTTATTTTTTAGAAGTCTGACAGGAACTTAAGAACCTGCGTTCCACTGAATGTCAGAAAGATACGAGACTCTGAACCACTTCAGCATACTTTCATACTTAAGGTTAAAGCCATACTTTACAATTTTAATTGTACCACTTATAGTTTTTGGAGTTATATCTTAATCTGGAGCACCCACAACAAGACCCAGTTGTTACAGAGGCAGCAAAGAATTGTTGTGCATGGATAATTGCTGCGGAATGGGGCTGCATGTGTTCAGATTCATGTGCTTTTAAAAAAATATGAGTTGATTACTGACATCAAAGTATTACAATAATGATCAAGCATTGTAGGAAAAACAAAAATCACAGCCTGAGTAAAAAGAAGCCATAAACAGCAAACTATGTACAAATACTAGTATGACATTATTTAAACATTGTAATACCAGAGTGAAAAATTATAGCAATTGTGTTTTGACCTTCATCATTGTGGTTTAAGTCATGTACTGCTCAATTCAAAAGGAAATGTTTCAGTAAGTGTTTATGTGTTAAATTTCACTTCCCCCTATTGAGGGAAATCAAAATGTCAGCCAATAACTCAATAAAGTGTACTTCCAGAGAGATGTTTAATAGAATAAATCATTAATTTTTTAAAGTGAAAGGAGCTTCAGCTGTAAGAAAGCCATCTGTATTACTTATTTACTGATGAGCAAGCTGCTTGCTTTGCTATTACATCACATCTCCAAGGCACTGAATGCCAATCAACAGTACTTAATGCTTAAGTTATCTGCATTTTTGTCTGCATTTGGCTCAGTAAAACCAAATCAGATATCTAGATAATGACAAGCTGACAGGTGAGACCTGAGCAGAGCTAACAATATTTCTGTAAAGACCTACATGTTCTAAGTTTACGATTCAGGGAGTTAGTTGACTGAGGCTGTGGACAAAGAAACCACAAAGATGGGCTTCCCTCCTTTATTTACAATTAGCCATCTAAATGTTATGCATTTAATCATCCACCTACTCATTCTCTCTGCAGCCCTCTTACCCATGTGAGGACTAAGCCATGTGAGATGCTCTAAAGGAGGTGCATTTGTCGTTCTCTAGTTGGTTACAAAGAGCCTAGACAGGCAAATCAGACCACAGTCCTAGAATTACAGGATATTAGGCCAGTTTATCCACAATATCCTATTTCAAAATCGCATAATTGTTTCTACTGCTGTAATTTGTCAATCTTTTCCATTGATGCTATGGGCCAGATTTTGTAGTGCTGTTCATACCATCCCAGGGCAACCTAAGTGATTACATGTGGAATACTGTAATGCACAGGGGTTTATGCAGAGCTATCAATCAGAAGTGTGGATGTTTCAGCAAAGGGGCTGAGACAGGATGTTTTGCTTTTTCAACAAGCTGAAATAATAGGAAATGGGCAGGAAGAAATAACCATTTGAGCTCATTTTGAATAACTTTATTTGAACTGAAATTAAATGTTCCATGAATTTAAGGAATTTAAAACAATTATTTTTAAGGCCAGTTTTCAAAACTGTTCTCTAAATAAGATAGAAAAAGTCTGAGTGCAGCACTATGCTATTTGCGGGTTTTTTTTCCCACATTTTTCAAGCCAAAGATAATTACCAAGAGCCAGACATAGCTTTAGTCTCTAAACTTCATTTTTCGATAAATTTACTGCATAATTTACTGAAATATTTGCAAGACCTATAGCCATGAGTCTCCTTCCTGATGCTTGCAATAATTATAGTTTGTATAGAGCATGTACAAAAGCACCAAAAGTTTATGAAGACATGAATCAGTTGTAACTTCACTGAAGCCGATGCCTTGATATAAGTGAAAGAAAAAACCAAAACAGCTCAATGTAAATGCTCAGCATCCACTGAACGTTAACTTACAAAGCAATATGCTGTATCTCAGCGTTTCTTCAGGCAGAAAGTGTGAGCAGACCTTTTTGCTCCTACACTTCATTTTCTCAAGGGCTCTAAAACTGAAATTTATCTCCAGAATAAACCTAACCTCTGAAAAAAAAAAAAGAAAAAGATTTCTTATTCACTTCTTTATACAAGGTATTAATACTTCTTACTAGCTGTCATCTTGACACTGCTGAGCAATCAATAATTACAGCTCTCAACACATTCAACAATAAGTATCTGTAATGAATGGCAGTAGCAAAGGTTGCTATCGTTTAAGAACTCCCCTTAGAATTGGTTTTAAATGTCATAATTCCATCTGCTCTCTCTCTTTCTTATGCATTGCAGAGGAGTGTTACTGTGGCTCACAGTGATGTCCTGGAATCCAAGCTATGTCTGTCTTGTTATTTATGAGAACAATCATGGAGAGGCAAAATACATTTCAATTCCAGTCTGAAATACTTTAAACAATACCAGCGAAGGCAACAGGAAGAGGCTGCCCCAGTGTTTTCATATAGGCATGAAAAGAAATTGAAATGGTGTCTAAATTAGACAATTGCCCTTGGAGGTTTTCCTAATTATCAGTGATTTGTTCCAAATCAACTAACACAGTAATTGCTGCCAAGTCTGTAAATCCAAAGGGATTACTAATGGCTGAACAATACATAGGTGATTTTAAAACCTCAGTAAGTTTTGAGTAATTCCTCCTCTCACTGAAGTCAAGCCTTTCCACAGAAAGATGATCAGCCACTTGAAGTTCAGAAGCTGCAGAAGAAATTGAGATACCTGGATTAAAGACCTCCATCCCTTCAGTTTACCAGAGAGGACTGACTTCATGGACTTGCTCTGAAAATGATATCTGACAGTGAATGGCACTTTATACCATGACAGATGTCCTGATGCAAGCAATTGAAAACAGACAAGTTCAATTATTAAATATAAAATCAGTTCACAGCTATAGGGTAATTAATAGTGTTGCCTGAAGCTGCATCGTAATGGTTTTCCTAACTGGGAAATGTTTTTTCAAAATCATTGTTCTCAGTCACATTTGCACTGGTTATTTTTCAGGAAAAATGAAATAAAATAAATTTCTACTTTGTTCAATACCATTTGTTTCATTCTTTTGCCCAAGAAAGACCTTCAAACACCTATCTCACACTGCCTTGTATGGAGTTTGACCAAACAAAAGCATAGAGGGCATATAGCTCCAAACTACATAGAAAAGGTTTGTGCATTTGCCTTAGAAGCATCCATGTATCCATATTTTTCATGTCAGATGGAGCTGATTCTAAATTAAACTTATGAAGATTTCTATTCTGAGGGAGGGGAGGAAGAAAGCTTGACTGTGTCATCAGAGTACACTGCAGACAGTTATAACTGGTTTGGCCTCAGAAATGGTGAAGCTGTATTGAAAGTCACCTATTGAAATGCTAACTGGGTTGAATTCATGCCTACCTGCAGTGAGACCCTGGTCTTGGGAGAGATGTAATGAAAGAACCTACATGCTTTCCAGAGAAGCCTTAAGTAAAACAGTAAAAACATTTCTTTAAAAAACATTTTGCAAATGATATAATGGAAATGGGTATTTTCTTTCTGAACAATGCAACTTTTCTATGGAAATAAAGATAATAACTTTCTGATACATTCTAAGCATGTGTGTAGAATGATGTACCCTACAGATAAGGGCCTTGTTACTACCTATTGAGGTAATACGTCAGGATAATAAAATGTTATCAAAGAGCAACAGGATGAGGTGTCGTGGTTTAACCCCAGCCAGACAGCTTGTTTACCCACTCCCCCCTCTTCCTGCCCTCCCCCTACTCCTGGAGGGAAGGAGAGGAGAATCAGAAAGAATGCAACTCCCACGGGTTGAGATAAGAACAGTTTAGTAACTAAGGTATAGCACAAATCACTGCTGCTATCACCAATAATAATGATAAAGGAAATAACAAGGGAAGAGAATACAACACCTTATCACCAGGCGACTGATAACTCACCCCCCCAGCCCGACCAAACACCGACCGATACCTCCTCCAACCCTGCAGTCCACCTCTGCCCTTCTGGCTCACTCCCAGTTACATCCTGGGCATGACGTGCTGTGGTATGGAATACCTCTTTGGTCAGTTTGGGTCAGGTGTCCTGTCTCTGCTTCCTCCCGGCTTCCCCTCCTCCTTGGCAGAGCATGAGGCTCACAAAGTCCTTGGACAAACCAAAGCATCATTGTTATCAGCTCTGTTCCCAGCCCAAACGTCAAAACACAGCACTGCACCAGCTACCAAGAAAGAGAAAAAATGACTGCTACTGCTGAACCCAGGACATGAGGATCAAGGTAAGAACTCCCCCAAAAACCTCTTCCACCTGAGTCACTGGCATGTAACTTGGCATTTCAAACACCATCATTGCTAAGGAGTCAATAGTATTGACTATAAAGTAACACCAGTATAGAAATGGGGTGGTGGGGACAGAACATTTGACTGGCATAGGCTGACTACATGGGGTCCTGTGGGTCACTAAATTTCAGCCAAAATGATTTGGTAAGAGCTGGAACCCTCGGCATTGTCTGCATTGTAATATTGCATTGTAACAACTAAAAGCCCTACATTCGGAAGTACATACAACTTTTAACTGTGCCTGAAATAAAATAAAACAGGGTAAGAAATTGAAAAGACATATTTTGCTCACACAGTTGAAGATGAATACATTTACACTTTCAGAATTAAACACTTCTCATTTCTCGCCTCAGTTTTAGCATGTTTTCTGTAGTGAATTTATGGCTGTGAAATTGCCTCAGCTAAGAATTACTGGGAGTGAAAAGTAAAGCTCTCTATCCAGCTAGTGCCATGAATAATGTGTGCATGTACTCTCACATATACCCATGTGTGCTGTTGTCATTTTTGGACATTTCTAGATTTATGAAATGTAAAATGCAATCCCCAAATGCTGGAAATTCTTACTAAGAATAAAAATCAAAAGTGAAAAATGTATGTGAATGTCAAAGAACAGAAAGATCTGTATCAGAAACATGTTCAGGAAGCTTAAGTCATTCACCTCTTAGTCCGTTTTGAGAACCTAGTATCTTTATTCATCTAGCATCCTTATAAATTGCCTCTTTTTTTCCTGATAAGAATGTTTGTTTTCTTCAACGCTCTATTTATCTCATACATATCCCATGGATAACACCAGGTATTAGGCTGAACTTCAGGCCAAATATTTAATATTTGGGTTCCTAAAGTTAAATGGGTTAAGGAAAAACTAAACATTTGAGCAGCCATGTAAGTTCATAAGTGATTGAGGCACCCAGTCTTTCATATTTAGCAGCAACTGGAGCATGGCAGGTTTTACAAGTGGGAGAAAGCTAAAAATCAAAATGAAACCAAGTGATGCTCTTCCACCCATTTTCTATCTCTCAGCCCTGCTTTCTGGGTACAATCTCAAATCCTCCAGCACTGGCCTTTTCTCACCTCCTCCTTAAATTCCTAATCCTACAATACCACAGTCATAGAATCGACTAGGTTGGAAAAGACCTTTAAGATCAGCAGCGCAACCGTTACCCCGTCCTGCCAAGTCCACCACTAAACCAGGTCACTAAAAGCCTCATCTACATGTTTTTGAATACTTCCAGGGATGGTGATTCCACCACAACCCTGGGCAGCCTATTCCAATGCCTGACTACCCTTTCAGTTAAGAACTTTTTCCTAACATTCAATCTAAACTTCCCCTGCCACAGCTTGAGGCCGTTTGGATGGATGGATCTAGTCAACATCTTTAATCAGCCCTCTGAAATTATCACAAGGACTTCTTCTACAATAAGATGTTAAATGCTAATAGCCAATACTAGATATCTTATTCCCAGTAGGTCAAGGCTTCCTGAAACAGATGCACCTTCCAAGGAAAGAAAGCAATTGGCCAGACAGTCATAAACAGAATTTTACACTGTCTCAGCCACTCCTGGCCTATGAGCTTTCTAAATCAATGATGTTTACTAATATGGCTATATAAATGTTTCATATTCCTAGTAAAACCTATCACCCTTTAAGCTTCAAAATAGATTGACTCAATTAAGCGGAACAATTCTGAACAGTATTTCAACGTTTCTTTAAATTTTCTGGTTTTCTTTTTTTTCCTTTAACCGTTCCAGTATTTTATGGGAGAGGGGCGAAACACTTATTAGCAAGTGGATTTCCATGTTAATTTCTTTTTGTGAATAAAGGATCTCTCCATGGAGCTATTCATATCTCGAATTTGCCCAGACATACTTTCCACTGTTCTGAACAAAACCTTTGAGAAGCATGTATTTTTTAAAAGTGATTTCAAAAGTATATTAAGGGAAGCCTTACCCTGCAGATTCCTTTGTGCTATGTGCATTTAAGTTGTACTTTTCATAGTAGACTGGAACCTCTAGTGGCAGATAAATAGTGAGCTGCTTCATCCTTTATATTTACTGATTTGAAGCACTACTATTTTAGGCAAGCATTGGGGCTGCTCTGAAAGAAAAAGGTTTGCTAGAAAACGAGATATAAGAGTACTCTGGGACTGTGTGGGTCTCAGTCATGTAAAATACTTGTCAAAATGAGAGGGGCACACTGTAGAGCTGAGCTCAGCTCAGCAGCATCTTTTGCACCAGTATAATGAAGGGGGAGGAGAATGAAAAGCCCATGGGTTTTTTTTTAAGTGTGGTCCAAAAGTAATGTTGCTTTGCCAGCAAAATTTCCAACCAGCCTTAGGCAGGGTATAGTGAAAGATTTAGAGCCTTTTAAATTTAGCAGAGATGTAATCTTTAATCATGTGAGTGGTGGTGTTGGGGAACACTGGTAAGAAAGGGAGCACAATGGTAACTAGGCTGGTGCTTGCTCAGAAAAGCAGCAGTTTCACGCTGCTCTTTGTGAACAAATCCACATGTCCAACTAATTTAGCACCAGCCCGGCCTGAATGCACAGTTCAGAATTTTTATCTGAAATGGAAATACATGATACCACACTCCCTATTTAACACTAACGTTCAATTTCTTTTGCCGCCAGTGGACTCAATTTATAAGAACACAAGGTCAAAATGAAGAGTGTTTGTGTATTGCTCCTAGACAGTGTCAAACACACTAACCTCCGGAGTATAGAAATGAGATGCCTTGACAAAAGAGATTGAAATAGAAGGAGTAGATTGCAGATAAATTCCACTCTACAAATGCAAAAAAAAAAAAATTTACTACTGTTCATATAAAACAAAGAAAATAATATTCAAGTGATGATCTACATATTTCATACTTAACAGACTTTTTTTCACTCTTAATAGTCATCTTATGCCTGACCTTAATTAACATAAAATATTATGCAGGCAGATATAGGTGGTCAGTGAAAAGGGCCTGCGTTCAATTCTCAGGTATCACTAACAACTACTATCTTGAGCCATCTGGATGCTGGTTGAGGTGCAATTCCTGCTTGCAAACAGTTAAGTGGATAAAACTGCTTTATTGAGGGAACAAAATGTCAACAGGAAGACAATGACAAATCTTTTTCTGGAGTACAATGGTACTTCTTTAAAGCCCTCCTCTGATTTTTAAGTAAGAAAGACAAGTGTTAGCCCACTGGGCACTGCCCTCCTCTTGTAGCAACACAGCATTCCCACTTGGCAAGCCCCCACCTCTGATCCAATCAATTCTGCTGCATATGAGCTGACATAATGAGGTGGCCAAGGTCGATACCAC